TTCTTTGAGGCATGAATCACTCTATCATCAAGGATAGCTTCAACACGCCTTTTCCTGGCTGAATTGGGCCCTCGAATACTGGGTATTGTGAGCTGGCTCTGTGAAGGATCCTCCGTGTCTTCCCGAAAAGGTTTTAGGAGGCTGACATGGAAGACAGGATGAATTTTCTACCAAGCTGGTGTATCCACCCGGTATGCAACTTTCCCAATGCTCCTTTCAATGGACAAAGGTCCAATGTATTTTTGCAATATGCGAGGGTCATGGACCCCCGCAAATAAGTAACGCTTTGGAATTTTGACCATCACTTTATCTCCTACTTGGTATTCAACAAAGCGACGATTCTGATCAGCATGCCTCTTCATCCGCTTTTGAGCCTTGACAAGATAGCTCCGCACTATCTCCAAATTTTGCTTCCACTCTTTAGAGAAGCTAGCAGCTCGAGGAGATTTAGACATATTTGGTGCATTGACTGTGTGTGGGAGTAGCGGTTGCTGTCCGGTAACAATTTCAAAAGCGCTTTTGTTTGTACTAGAGCTCTTTTGTGAATTGAAACACAGTTGAGCAGCATCCAGAAGCTTCACCCAATTCTTCTGCGATCCGGTTACAAAATGACGGAGATATTCCTCCAACATACCATTGAACCGCTCCGTCTGGCCATCAGATTGCGGATGAAAACTTGAGCTGTGACTCAGATTCGATCCAAGGCACTTAAAGAGTTGGGTCCAAAAGTTACTAGTGAAGCGTGAGTCACGATCACTAACAATGTCTTTGGGCAGGCCCCAATATTTGACGACATGAGAGAAGAAGAGTCGAGCTGTATCTTCTGCTGATATATATTATGGGGCAACAATAAAGGCAGCATACTTGGAAAACCGATCTACCACAACCAAGATAGTTGTTAGATCTCCGACTTTGGGCAATCTGGTGATGAAATCCAGGGAAACACTTTCCTAAGGTCTCTTTGGGACAGCTAGTGGTTCTAAGAGTCCCGCTTGTGTTAAGCGGTCTGACTTGTCCTTCTGGCTTACTAGAAAAGTCTTCACATACTGAGCAACGTCATCGGCCATTTGAGGCCAATAATATGCACGACGAAGTAACTCCATGGTGTGTTCTTTACCGGGATGGCTGACCCACAGAGTATCATGACATTCAGCCAGAAGAGTCCTTCGCAGATCTCCTCCTTTAGGAACATAAAGTCGGTTCCCTTTCACTTTCAGAAAACCATCTTCCATGTAGAACTAGCGAGTCTTGCCCTGTCCTACCAAATCAACCAAATACTGTGCAGCAAGATCCTTGATGAGTAAATCATGTATCTGGTCCTTGATGGAGGTGGCTACTTCTCTCCCCCTTAGGGTGGCGAGTAGGCACACCGATGCTAGATCAGCTCTCCGACTAAGCGCATCAGCAACATGATTGGTCTTCCCACTTCGGTACTCCAGGTTGAAGTGGAATTCAGCTAGGAGTTCCTACCACCTGGCCTGTCGACCATTCAACTTCGGCTGGGTCATGAAATGGCTAACAGCTGTGTTGTCTGTCTTGACCACGAACGGGGTCCCCACTAGATAGTGCCTCCAGAGGCGCAAGCAATGGACGACAACCAAATATTCTTTCTCATGGGCGGCATAGTGTCGCTCTGCATCTTTCAGCTTCCGACTCTCGTACGCTACAAGATGCCCTTCTTGTAGCAAGACTCCACCGAGGGCATAGTCAGATGCATCTGTTTGTACTTCGAATGGCTTGGCTAGATCAGAAAGGGCCAAGACGGGGCTACTAGACATAGCCGCTTTTACTGCGTTGAAGGCCTCCGCTCGCTTGGGTCCCCATTCCCAAGGCGTAACCTTCTCGAGGAGTTCTATCAATGGTACTGCAATGAGGGAGTAGTTTTTCCCAAATCGCCGATAGAAATTGCATTGACCAAGGAACGCCCTCAAGGCGTGGATATCCTTAGGCGGTGACCACTCTATGATTGCCTGAATCTTCTGCTGGTCCATCTTGATCCGCCCTTCCTCGATGACATGTCCGAGGAAGTCAATTTTCTTTTGAGCAAAGGAGCACTTAGATAGCTTCGCATATAGTTCATGCTCCCGCAATCGATCTAGGATCTTCCGCAAGTGCATCAGGTGTTCCTCCAATGTTTGGCTATATACCACAATGTCATCCAAGTAGACCACCACGAATTCATCAATGTACTCTCGGAAGACTTGGTTCATCAAAGTGCAAAACGTAGCTGGGGCATTAGTCAAGCCGAATGGCATAACCAGGAAATCGTACGACCCATATCTTGTCACACAAGTTGTCTTGTGCTCATCACCCTCTACAATCCGAACTTGCCAATAACCCGTTTTCAGGTCTATTTTGGTGAACACCGTCGCACCACCCAGTCTATCGAACAAGTCTGCCATTAGCGGAATATGGTACGTGTTCTTCACAGTAATTTTGTTTAGAGCCCGATAGTCCACACAGAGTCGTAGACTACCATCATGTTTCTTTTGGAATAGCACAGGGGACCCATATGGGGATTTGGAGGGCACAATAATCCTTGTGTCTAGCATTTCCGTCAATTGTCTCTGAAGCTCGGTGAATTCGGATTGTGACATTCTGTAAGGCGCTCGGGCAGGTGGCTTCGCGCCCGGCACCAGCTCAATTTCATGGTCCACAGTGCGCCTAGGCGGTAGTCGCTTTGGCATGTCTTGTTGCATGACATCTTCAAACTCTAGTAGTATCTCCTTCACGGGCTCAGGAATGGGACCCGAGGAGCGTTCTACATCTTCAATGCAGAGGGTTGCCAGGAACGTCGGTTCATGTCTTTTGACCCCCTTCTTCAACTGCAAGGCCGAGATGTTTTCAACGACCATCTTCATGGGCATGCACGTGATAATGCAGGGCTTGGTCCCGTTTGCTCCCATTATCAGTAACATGTCAGCATACAGTACATGCATGGTGTTGGTTTGCCTCAGGAATTCCAATCCAACTATCAACTCGAAGTCATCTATGATCACCACGCGCAGGTTGAATTTTCCTTCGTAAGGGCCAAGCTTCACTGGTACTTCTTTGGATATTCCACCCACTGGTTGGGGAGGTGAGTTGATAGCCTTAACACAACCTCTACCTTTCCCTACAACTAGACCAAGGCGCTCCACCTGAGTCGAGGCTAAGTAGTTGTGGGTGTGCTGTGTCCACCATGGCCCGAATGGGCTTGCCATTCACCTTCATCTCAACGAACATTAAGGTCCTCTCGTGCATAAGAGGAGTCTCCTCATCCGCCTTCTTTTTCCCTTTCTTGGTGACTGGACATGGGTCCTTCTTATTACAGATACCAGCACTAGTCTCTGCTAATGCCTCAGAAATGGAGCCAACAATTGCATTAAAGGCACCTACTGGTTCAGTCTGATCCGCATCATTTGAGTCTTCATCAGTCCCATCATCAAAAGTCTGATGGGCGTTCATCTGTGCATGTGGGCACTCATTGTTCCAATGTGGTCCGCCGCAATGACGACATCCTGAAGGAGGCTTCCTCCCCCGATCATTGTTGTTAGACGCAACACTGTTGCTGCTTGTGGAGGGAGCCTTAGGTTTGGTTGAGCCCCGATCTCCCCCACTTCTGCTAGGGCCACCATTGCTAGACTGGCCCCCTTTGAATCCCGCTCAGGAAGGAGGCTGAGGCCTATCCTTCCGAGCTTCCATTTGATAGTCCCCAAGGCATTCAGCTGTTTGGATCGCCTTGGGAAGGGTATCTACCCGTTGTCTTTGTAGATCCATACGGGCATAAGGTTTTAGCCCTTCTAGGAAAGTGAAGAGCTTGTCTTTGTCCCCTATGTCGCGTATGCTTAGCATGGGCTCGGAGAATTCCCGCACGTAGTCCCGCACGGATTTGGTCTGGCGGAGCTCCCGTAGCTTTCTCCTTGAATTGTATTCAACATTTTCGGGGAATAATTGTAGGCGTATGGATGCCTTCAGTTCTGCCCATGTCTCGAGAGCATCTTCACCGGCCTTGATGGCTTCGCATTTCACCCGCCACCAGAGTTTAGCATCACCCTGAAGATACATGGCAGCAGTTGCTACCTTCTTAGCTTCTTCTAGGCCCCCAACAACATCGAAATATTGTTCGACGCCAAAGATGAACTTCCCCACTTCCTTGGAATTCCTAGCTCCACTGTATGGCTTTGGCTCAAGAATTTTCAATTTTAGTGTCGCAGAAGTGGGGTTTGCAGCGCCCCAATCTGGTTTCCACTGCCTCACAACAAGCCCTGTAAAGCAGCATTGACGACATTGAGCTTGTTTGTCAAGTCGTCAATAGTTTGTTGTATGGCAGTCACTCTGTCTGCCTCTTGTGCCCTGTAAGCTAAATCGTCGGCACTCTCCTGTTGGAGTCCCTCGAATTTGCAAAAGAATTTGGCTGCCTCTATGGCTACCGTTTGCCGGTCTCCCTCGGAGTCACGACTGATGTTTTCTATGTCAACTTCGTCCTGGAGCACCCTGCGGTCCAGGTTGTCCAACCTTTTCCCTAGGCTGGTTCTTAGTTCAGGCACCGTATCCATGATGGGCAGTAATCCGTCGACCGTCTGTTCAAGGGCCGCAATGCGGTCCCCATGATTCACCATGGTCAGAAATGGTGGTAATGGCAATGCGTTCCCTCGTCCGATGTCAAGCCTAGGATCTGATATAAACTGTTACGCGGCGCCTTCCTAAGATTCCTTGAAGGGCGACGTAAGGCTAAGCAACTGATGTCAGTGCAGTTGTTGTCCGCCAACTGAGGTCCCCTCCGTACGCTAGATTAGATTGTCAGTGTCGTACGGAAAAACCAATATCAAGAACAATTGAGAGAACAAGAATGAGAATTGAGAATGAAAGAAAGCTTGATTGCATTAATGCAAGCTATTACAGAAAGGCAACGCAGTGTCGAGGGGGAGAGATACCAGTACAGAGAATTTTTTGCTTGCTAGAAAGTTTGATTGCTTCATCCCCCCTAATAATACTTAAAAAAAAAATCAAAGCTACAAGACTAGACTTGATTAAGCTAGAGAAACATAATGGAAGTACGTGGAATAAAACTACTCTATATTTACAAAGAAAAAGACTTAGTTTTCTATAAGGCAGAAATAGGTCCGTTGTCAGCAGCATAGTCTTTGGCATCAGGGTTTGCGCGCGCGGTATTGTCTGCGTGCGCGGCGCTGTTGGCATCCGTCTGCGGTTGGGCGTTGGCGAGGGATATCGGTGAGGCGACAGAGGCACATGCACGCTTGTCACTTGGCGCGACCAAGACCACGGGGCCGTCTGTGGCGCTAGGCATTGAAAGGCTTGCTAGGACGCCACGGGGCGTGCCCAAGGGGTCATGGGGCACGGCTGGAAAGCCGCCCATGACAGTATGCTTGATTTGCATTGATCCCGTCATATTTTCTTGAGCTGATATTGCCACCCCTACTCGGGAGTTAGAGCAAACGAATCCCAGTACCTCTTGACCATTGAACACAACTCAGGAACATGTTAGGCTTCAATCAAGTCAGCTTTTATAGGCAGGCAATTCAACCAAAGCTGGAATAACCTACCAAAGGACTCAGAAAAAGAATTATGCAGAAAATATATTGGAGGAATATTGACATCAGAATGTTTGATCGAACAATAATACAGTAGCAGCGGTTTCAATGAATTGGTTAAAAGTTAGCATCTTCTTCAGGTGATACAAGGGATTTCAATTCCATCTCCTGTCGAGGCAAAAGATATGTCAATGCTGATTCCATAATGGCTGGTGGAAATGTTTGCTGAAGATGGCTCAATACACTAATCACACGATTTGCAGTTTCTTCTGTAGCAAGATCCTTTTCAATGCATAGAACCTACAGAAGTATTAGGCAATTACTGAATGTGTACATATACGTTAAATTTAGTTTAGTAAAAGGCCGCATTCCACAAAAGAATTAGTCGTGTCAGCTGATCCATCAGATATGTCCATGAAATTTAAAGCAAAAAGGGAAAGAATCTGCATCATAAAATCTCATAAGGTTTTAATGCTTTTCTTGTAAGAATAAATAAAATAAACACAAAGGCAAAATCTTTATATCTATCACAAATGAACAACTCAATCTAGGATCTAATGGTTAATCTCATACTAACCTCTACAAAACTGAAACAACTTTTGGAAGGTACTGATGGTCTTGGGACCCTTGCAAGTGAGAAATTTGGTAACCTTCTCACCTGTGGCTAAGATGGTCACAGTGAGATCCATTGTTGCACTTGCTGCTTCTATGAACTGGCTGATCTATCAGATAGATGTGCATAATGCATTTTGAATGGTGATCTTCTAGAAGAGGTCTACATGCATATCCCTCGGGGGGTTTTCTAGACAGGGGGAGAATATGAAGGTCTGCAAACTCCATAAATCACTATATGGCCTCAAACATGCCCCTAGACAATGGAACAAAAAGTTGGCAGAAGCCTTGGTTCAAATGGGTGTTTACCAAGAAAACCAATGGTGACATAACAGTGGTATTAGTCTATGTAGATGATCTACTGATTACACGTAATAGTCAGCATTTCTACAACAAACAAGAGATGAGCTGCAAACCAAATTCAAAATGAAAACTTGGGAGAGTTGAAGTTCTTTCCTGGGATTGAGTTTGCAAGGCCAAAGAAGGGTATTGTGATGTGTCAAAGGAAGTATGCTCTAGAACTGATAGCTGAGGCTGGACTAGGTGGAGCCAAACCAGCTGTTACTCCTCTAGAACTGAATCAAAAGCTAACCTCTCAAGAGTATGTCAAGCACACACAAAGCAGTAGCAAGGATGAAAGTCTCAAGGATGCAGGTCCCTATCAGAGATTCGTGGGGAGGATGTTATATCTCACCATGACCAGACCTGACCTGCCCTTTACAGTCCTGAGTCAGTACATGCATAGTCCAAAGACTTCTCATAGGGAAATTTCCTTTAGAGTGGTTAAGTACATAAAGGAAGCACCTGGACTAGGACTGTTCATGCCTGCACAGAACTCTGATCAACTACTAACCTACTGTGACTCAGACTGGGGAGCTTGTCTTCAAACTAGAAGATCAGTGACAGGTTACTTAGTGAAGTTTGGAGATGCATTAGTCTCATGGAAGTCAAGGAAACAAGAAACAGTGTCAAGAAGTTCAGCTGAAGCAGACTTTAGAAGCATGGCCACATGCACAGCAGAAATCACTTGGCTTATTGGATTGTTCGAAGAACTTGGAGTCAGTATTGAGCTACCTATACAATTAAGGTATGATAGCAAAGCTGCAATTCAGATTGCTGCCAATCCTATATTTCATGAGAGAACAAAACATATTGACATAGACTGTTACTTTGTAAGGGAAAGGATACTACAGGGTATGGTGTAAACAGATCATGTGTCTACCAAGGAGCAACTTGCATACGTTCTTACAAAAACCCTTGCAAAAACACGACATGATCATCTGTTGTACAAGCTCGGAGTGAAGGATCTATATTTGACTATCAGCTTGAGAGGGAGTGTTGACTATGGTTAAGCTTAGCAAGCTGATTATACTAGAGTTAAGTTAAGGAATAGAGTTAGTTATTAGAAAGCTAGTTAGTTAAATGTTAGTTAAGAAGTTAGGTAACATTGTAGCTGTATAAATACTGTGTATATTCATTGAAATGAGAAGTAGGATTCATTCTCTCAGTTTTACAGAGTTAGTTGCTTCATTCCTCTAACATCTCTCTTTCTTTCTCTCCTAAAAGCACACAGCTTCTCGTCTGCGACTGAGCTCTAACCGCCATTGCCATGGCTGCTAACAGATGTACTACAGATAATGCTGAGCAAAGTACCGGAAAAGGGAATTTGTGACAGAAACAAGAGAAATATGAACTTTTAGTTATGCATTTCTATAGATTGCAGTAAAGAATGTCAAAGACAAAGGATGAAATGTGAAAAGATTTATAAATTAATAAAAAAAGATTACGATACTGACACCCTGCAATAACAACTGGTAGATGAAATAATTCTCCGCATTTAGCCTGTTCAGTTTATAAAAAGTTTCAGTTTCACTATTGCGCTTTGACGCACATCCTAAGAAAACCAAAGGCCTTATTAAAAGATTGTCCTATTAAAGGCTGGCCACTTGAACTCATGTGAATGTTTCCCTTTCTTTGCATTTTACCACTTTTTTTTTTTTTTTTTAACTTT